TTATATTCCCTACGTTTCGAGCACTTTACAGATGCTGTAAAGTAAGTTAATATACGCGATTGAATCCGTAAAAACTCGTTTTATTTCAATGTGTAGCGGTGTAGTGTTCGCGTAAATATAAGAAATCATTCTGTTTTAATATTTTAGTTCAGACAGATTTTGTTATGTGATCTATTAGACGTCATGGAGTTTGCTGACAGTTTAATATTTAAATAATTGTTTCCCTCACACTTTTTCTGTATCTTGGAGGCAGTTCACATTCATAAAAACATAAAATGCACAGGGACAAATAGCCAATTTTGTAGGCCATACATTATACTTGTTACGCAACCATTAGGAGCCGCAACATAAAGCTAAGCCACTGCGCAACGTAGCCGTCAAGTTCTCCAGGAAATAATGTAGTTTTTGTAGTCTATAAAATAGACATATAATGCCAATGTCGTAGCTCGTAGCCGATGTCCAATTTACTGGCAACTCTTCCTTGTTATTTCTTCCACGAAAATCGATTAAGCATTAAAAGTGTACTGGAGTTGAAGCTATTGCTTACGACGCGAATTGTTTCGTTGTACTTGGACTATAAATTTAAATATACGCTGAGCTCGTTTGCGTGTGAATGAAATTAATCCAGCTATTATTTGACATCTGACAAGCAATCGTATTGATGTGTTCGTTAAAATGCAAACTAGGAAAATTGTCACGCGACGGTATTCCTTTCGCGACGATAGATATTACGATAGCGTTGTAATTTTCCGAGTCATTAAACGTCGTCCGAGCTGAGAGCTCATAAAGGTGGTAAAGGCTCCCCACGTGGTTACGCGTGCTCGTTTTATTTTTGCGCTCGGAGGCACATCGTTCATTAGTCATTTAGTCATTACAACGCTGTTTGTTACTGACTGACCTTGGCCGTGAACGGACGCGTGGCGACAACGCTGCGGACATGCAAACTATGGCGAGAAAAAACAATACTCCACATGAACTAGAATAATATAATGCGCACGCTGATAAAAAAACACTGGAGCAATTATTATGATATTTAATTTTGTTGGATTACGTTTTTGCCCGACGACTGACACGTGAACTGAGTTTAAACAGATGGAGTAAAAAAATGCGCTGCCTTTTGATTGTTTCTATTTTTTTTTTCGGGTGAACTTTTTTATGTAATGGGTGAAATAATCATATAAGCACGCAGTCAGCAGCAATTGCTGCTATTTTACACTGGTATTCTGTGATTTTCCCGCGTGTTATTATGTAAAGATTATAATATTATAACCGATTCATAGACGTAGTAATTTTGAATAATAATGTCCTTCAGAATGAATTTCGCTCACGGCGGCCAGTCTCAACGAAGCGTAGGGCAAGATTACAGCGCATGAGTGTATGTGGTGTGCGCAACCACAGGTGCACTGTCAATTCCCTCGCTCAAAGTGTCATAGTTCAATGTGACGGGAATCCCGCAACTTCCTGACTCTGTGTTGATACTGAGAATTTCTCAGACAGAATAACCCAATATCTGATTTTGGTGCTCCCTGACAATCGAACACGAGACTACGTGATCAGCAGGGTCTTACGCTTACGTCTACTGGGCCAAAAAGGTAGTTAATTTTAAATAGGGATACATAAGCCACACGTCATTTCTTTCTGTTTTCCTCAGTTGTCTGTTTTGTACTTTTATTCATGTAAGTACTTTAATAAATTATTCACGGTTCGTGTAGAGTTCGGGTCGCTCAAGGACTCCTGGGCTCGCTCACTTAAAATTATTTAAAGAATACGCCGTGCTAACTATAATAAATTAGGCACTCGGTGCTAATAAAAAATTTAGCCTTTGAAGGCACGTGCGGTGACCAGTGACAGTGACCTGTGTGCCTAAGATATAAAATGTACTTCGAGACCATATCATGAATTATTTTCCGTACTAAACCAGACTAAGGCAGACTTTCCTACGTCTGGTGGTTCTAAATTAGAGGACTTGGGGTTTTAAGTCGTTGAGATAATAGACGGCATTTTACTTATCATATCTTATATCACCTTATTTATACTATCACCAGTCTACTGGTGGACGTAGATCTCATCCCAAGGATTTTTTTTTCAAATAGAATAAGGGTGACATACAAACACACAGTCCACCTGATGGTAAGTGGATACTGTAGCCCATAGACATCTATATTTATCCTCGATTAAGAATCAAAATGCAAATGCGTTGTTACCCATAACGACTTAGATGGAATGCCTCGTTTCCAGTAAAAAAGGATCTCCGGATCTCTACACTCACCATACGAAACACAACAGTTTTAGGCTGCTATTTTACACTGGTATTCTGTGAGAGCGTGGTCCTTCCCAGGTCGAGCGGATTCATTCGTGTTTCGTGCTACAACCATAATATAGCTACAGTGTTGCTCTGCATCTATAATTGCATTTAGTCCCAACCTCGTCTTCACGAATCTATTTGCTACTAGATTAGATTATTTAGATTACTTAGATTAGCCGCCTTTCCATATAATGATAATATCGCGTAATTACTTAATTTAATTACGTATTTTATCTATACCAGACATGTATATATTGTATATGTATGTATTTTTATGTATACATGTCTGTATTCATAAAAATACACATCAAAAAAGTGTTATCGACTTTCCTGCATTATAAATACACGACTTGATTTTGATGATGGTCGATTATTAAAAATCCCATGACATGCTGTCACGTCCATGTAACAAAATGAATCATTTCAGAAATGTTTTTGACACATGATTTAAATAGGTAGGAGCTGCTGGCAACAAAATCGGGCCTGCCCCCTGCTGGGTTCGACGGAGCGAGACGGCTAGAGTTCGCCGTAGAAAAAGTAGTTTGCCAAAATAATGTAGGTGTGACGTCATCGCTCCAGTAATTATGGTAAAAGTTCGTGATCGCAGCACGCTCGTGCGACTGTTTGCGCTTCGGGTGATATTGAGCCATTAAAGTTTTAAATTTAAACATTTACATCCTTTTGATTTTTTTAATGGCTTCGACTCGATGATGTTGCAAAGTCCGCGATTATATTCACTTTGTAATTAAAAAGTAATATAGGGTGCTTTGGGGTAACTTCGAAAGGATTTATATGAAGTTAATAGACCATTTGTGTTTTCTGTCAAAAGTCAGAATCTGTACATTTTTTCCTGAAACAAGCACAAGTTTTATGTAGTTTATATATTTTGTGAAGAAAAGCTCATTTCAAAAGTATTCTAACATAGTTGCTAGATATCAAAATTTAATTTTTATTATTAGTTAGATTTTTTGATCCTCAAGTGTAATTTCGAAATACTGTAGGGCAATTTCGAATTACAGTCAAAAATGGTCTTTGTGCGATATGGCTTTAAGGTACATATTCTTTTTTGATTCTAAATTCCCCCAAAGTTTTTTTTCTTTCCAAAATAACAGTTGTGGCCATTAGGCCACACAACTTTTGTTACAAATTTTTTAAGAATTTATTTTCGAAATTACCCCATGGCAAGTCAGTGTTTCTCAACATTTTTTTACATTATCGGTAGGCAGGGAAAACAAAACAATAAAAATATTTGAATCAGTTTATTTCTGATTTAGTATGAGATCACATTGAGTTTTTGTCGTAAATCAGCTGCTAATCAAGATATATCAATTATTTTTAAGTATACATCTTCACTTATTATTAGACCGTATTAATTATTATCATGGACTATCTTATCTTAATCAGCCTTGAGATTGACATTTTGAAAATACAAAAGGCGTATAATAAATTTATATAATTGTACATCATAAACAGTTAAGAAAACATGAAATAAAACTGGTACCTATAGCAAAAGGTAAAAAAACGACTTATCATTAAACATCTGCTCACATTAATACTTATAACTACAAACAAGGACTAAGAAATATTCTTAAACATATGCAAAAAAACAACTTAGAAAATTGAAAATACGAAGTTATAGAAAGACATACTTCGAAATTGTTCATAATTAAGTAGTTTAAATTAATAAACAATTCTATGATTTTTTTAAGTAATTACAACCTTTTTTTAATACCAACTCGAATTGGTACCTAATTTTAAATTATTTCGAAAAAAGAAGTATTTTAACTTAGTACGAGATCACATCAGTTGTCATAAACTAGCTGCTAATCAAGTAGGTAATAATTACCTAGTTATTTTTAAGTTTGCACCTTTACATTAGATCACGTCATTTTCATGGACTATCTTATCGTAATCAGTCTTGCAATTGTCATTTTGAAAATACAAAAGACAAATAATAAATTTTTAGAATTGTACATAACAAACAGTTAAGATATTACATGAAATAAAACTGGTACCTAAAGCAAAAGGTATTAAAAAAACAACTTTACATTAAACACATCACATTTCACATTCACATCAATACTTTTAACTACCAAAAAGGACAAAGAAAATATTCTTAAACAATTGCAAAAAAAAATACAATTACAAAATACCAAATTCTCAAAAGAATATACATCTGGGGTCATATATCTGGGTTTAGGAAATGAAGCGTTAATATACCTAAAATGGTCTGATGCGTTACCTATTAAGTTTATTATTCATAAAGTTATTCATTAAACTTAGTAGTTAGTAGGTAACACATCAGACCATTTTAGGTAAGTATATTAACACTTCATTTCCTAAACCCGGAATATGAAAACGTAACGTAACTCTGTGCTTAAAAATGGTTACAAGGGTTTATGTTCCTTCGCTCTCCTATGCTACTACAGACTTAAGAAAACTATTTAACATAATTAACTTAAAAATATATGTTGTCGCTCTCATTAACCAATCTATAAATTTTATCATTCATTCTTTGCAAATTTATTTTCTTTACTATAGATATATTTGTAACTTCATCATAATCTAATTTTTTAGTTTCTCTGAAACAAAGTTGGGGTGCTTTCATAGTTTTAAATAAGCGATACAATATAATCTATTTCCGTCTTTTTCTTTTATTCCTTTTATAAATCCAATATAGTATTTCCATGTCTTTCTAACGTAATATCACTAACACGGAATCATTTATGCAGTAATTTTCTTGTAGTGTTTCAATTTCTGTGGTATTTGTTAAATTTTTGTTAATATTACCTACTACACTAGAGTCATCATCAGTCTTATTAGTTTCTTTTGAGCCTTGGTTATTTTCTTTTGCTTTACTCTTTTTACCCACACTTTTATTTTTAGTTTTGGTATGAGGATTTCCATTTTCGCATTCTTTAACTTCATTTGAAATTTCTTTATTCTCATATTTTTCCAAAGAATTTAAAGTCTCCATCTCAAAATTTAAATCATCTGGCCAATTTTCTTCTCTGAGTATTTCATCGTTATAATATTGATCAATGTCTATGTCGTCACTGTAGAGGCTTATAAAATCAGAAATATCAGACGAAGATTCATTCGAATCTATTTCCTTTTTATGTTTTTTCTTACCCTGTTTTTTCTGTTTACTCACTTTTTTTATACCTGAAGGTCCCGCATCTGCGAAATCTATATCTTTTATTGACTTCCTTTTTTTCGGCTTAGCTTTTTGTGACGCTGTTTCGTTACTTTGCTTTTCCTTGTCTTCTAATTGTTTAGAAGTTATTATTTCAGCTCCTTTAGTAACAAGTGTTTTCTTTGTTTGATAATTAATATCCTTCTTATCCTGTTTTATTTTGTCGAGCAGCAATTCTTCAAAATTGACCTTTACATTGGATAAAATTTTAATTTTTGGCTCAGGCTTTACATTTTGCTTGCATTTTAGACAATCTGGTAAACTGGAAATATTATTTGCCAAAAAAGACTGCGTCTGATTATCTTTTCTTGAAAGGTCTGATAAGAAGGTGACATTTTGAGTATTCGTGTGTGTAACTACTCGTTCCACTTGTTCTTCTAAGTCAGGTGCAAACTGTAAAATTTTTTTAGAAACGTCAATACATAAATTTTGCAGGGGTTTCGGATTTTTGAGTGCATTTGTGCATAGCTTTTCTTTAAATCGTTTGTAGGCAGCTGGTTCAAAAATATCCTGTGTTAATACATCAGGGTTGAACGGATAGATGCCAGTTTTTTTGAAGCAGCTTTTTATTATCTCGGCATTTGTTTCTTGCCACGTGTCTACAAACGTTTGAGAAAAAACATTTTTAGGCATTTTAAGTCCGACATTATGGCGCTGCCATATAACTAATTTAGCATCCCACTTACACTTAAATGATCTAAAGACCGCACACACATCCAATGGTTGTAATAAGTGGGAGGTGTGAGGTGGTAATTTTAAGATTGTGATTCCATGTCGGATACCAGTTGTACGACATCTACAGTCACATGAGATGAATGGCCATCGTAAATAATCAAAACGGGGCGTTCTTCACCGAGCGCCGGAAATAATGCTTTTTTCAAGTAATTCACAAATATCGTACCCTCCATCCAACCTTTGCTGCTTGATGCGTAGGTCAACTCAAATTCATAATCTTTTTTATCAGTCGTCCACTGTTTCCATACATATTGCCCCTTAAATACTATTAAGGGTGCAATTTTTTGGCCAGCGGCATTTGCGGCCGCTAAAACAGTAATATTTTCTTTGCCACTGCCAAATGTTGCTCTTGAACAAGGCTTGTTAACCGCACCTACTACTTTCGTCTTTGAAGGATCTAGACACAGAGAGGTCTCGTCCAAGTTCCAAATTATATCGGGACGGTCAAACAAATTGAGATCGGCTAATGTATTTCCTAGTAGCTGAAAATACTCATGAATAATAAATGGGTCTGTCATTTTTTTTCGAGTATATTCAAGAGGTTGAGGTTTTTTAATTGACAATCGGTGTCTTTTTTTTAAAATTAAGAAACCAATCTGGGCCAGGTCTGTTGTTATGAAACGGAGTTTTAAGGTTATTTTTCGCAGCATAGTCAGTAACTACATCAAGCGTTTCGTTTCTAGACAGACCAAACCCCCATTTCTCCATAATTCGAAGGCCATTTGCCAATTCTTCTTCTTGTTGAAAAGGGATAGCTTGTGGTCTACCAATGTTTTGGATGTGATTTAGTTTCACTTTATCAAAAAGAGTCGTTGTGGGAATGCTATATTTTTTTGCAGCACCGTAAATTGAAGATATCCCCTGGTTGACTTCTTCCACTGCTTTTTCAACATCTTCTTGGGAATATTTTTGCACTTTCTTTTTTATATATTTTCGAGGCATCACTCTGAAAAATTAAATTAAATACTTAGTATGTAAATGATACTTCACACTTGAATTTCAGTAGGTAGGTATATTCCACAGACATAATTTCAAAATTTTTTGCATTATCTGTTTAATATGATGAACTGATATCGAAATACTAATTTAAAAAATAAATTGACTTCAAAAGAGTAGTTTTATTACTTTACCACAAATTGTTTACCTACTTAGTAGAAAAACCTTAATTCAAAATTTTTAGCTATGTATATTTTTGGGCTAAAATAGTATTGTGATATTTTTAATATTAATTTTTTACTTTTGTAGTTTTAGCAAAAATTTATTAAATGCTAAATTGTTAAAGCAGTTTGTTGACAAGCAGTTTGGCACATTCACTACGTCATTATCCCGGTCACTTAACTAGCCAACTTTCGATTACATGTATAAGAAAATATCTTGAATTTACTTACCAGTCTCTTCATCAAATAAAACTTTAGTAGGTAGGTATTAACTCCTACAAACAAACAAAATAAAAAATTATTTTCATTTAACTGTTAATTTTTGATTTCACAAAATTATTGCACCTAACATCAGCTTTCATAATAATTAAACTCTTACAAAAAAAAGTACAAAAATTGTTTAATTGTGATTCTATTACATTTTTATTATAGCGCAATAAAGTACTTATAAAAAATATTAGTTTAAGAACCACTGGTTAAAAGCATAATCTTTCGAAATTTACCTATGGGGCAATTTTGTAAGTATTTTTAAAACTGTAGCTATAATGATAAAGATAATCTAAAAATGCGTCAAAAACGTCAATCCATTGATAAAAAAGACAATCAATCGTTTAACTTACCAAATCACTTAGTAAAATGATGTGGGGTAACTTCGAAACTCCAGAAAATCCACGAAAACGCACTTTTTTTATAAAATGTCACACACAACACACGTACCTGCTGAGAGCGAACAGAGTGAACTGAAACCCGGGAATAGATCAACATGGCGTCTAAGTCAGTGCTGCCAGGAAACAATATAACTTTCTGTATTGTAGTAATGTTTGATTTTTGAAATTACCCCAGATTCGAGGTTACCCCAAAGCACCCTAACTCATTTTTAACAACCTCACTGCCTATAGATAAATTTTTTTGGGCCAGAATTTTCAATATTCAAATTTCAAGTGGGTTTCTTTAGCACATATCACTTATAAATCAGCACAAAAAATTGTAGTTTACTCAAGGAGGCGAAAACACAATAGTCCTTGTCAATTCGCAGCGATGGATTTAATCTTAGGTCTGATGAAGCTTGGTGCTCGAGTGCCAGAATTTCAGATATCATACATTTGAAAATGCGACATTATTCTGATTCGATTGGAATTTCTTTCTATTGAAAGATCAAGTTTTGAAATTTAGTTAACTTTGTTAAACAGAGTGCCATTTAATTTTAGTAAAACGTAAATGAGATGAACGTACCTTATACATAATTTTCTTAGCATAAAAGTTATTTAAATAATCAAGCACAATTGATAAAACATGTTTATAAGGACCGTTCTAATTGACTGTGCCTGATGATTGCTAACAGGACGCCATGAAAACAATCAATAGTTTGCCAAAAATAACTATGAAGTGCTGCGAGAATGAAACCAAAAGCAAAAATCCGTGGCATGGCACATTCAACATTCATACATAAACGCAGTAGCTTGAAAGTTGTGAAAATGAAATTAAAAACTAGGTGATGTCCGTTCTGGACGTTCAGAGTAGATAGATTAAACGAATAGGCGCGATTATCTTGAAGTATTCAAAGTTTACACCTTAAAGTTAATTCAGGGGCGTCAAGTTTGGAACTTTGCATGGGAGTCCTTCTCGTAGCAGTGCGAACATTATATTATGGAATAAATTTTTTTTAAACTTATTTCAATGAGTTTTTCCCTCACGACTTTTTCTGCCAACATGACGGTGCCACTTAATAACGATGTTCGAGATCGAGGTTCACTTAAAAATTTGTTCGAAAATTGTGAAGATTAATCTTTTTTTCTCCGTCGTATTAGTTAACTTAAGAATAAATAAACCAAACCACAGATATTCATAAAAGTTAAAAAATTAAATAGAGTTAAAAAGGTGCAAAAAATTAAGGAGCTAACCACTTAGGCATTGTTTTGTGTAAATATAATACTTGTGTTTAAAACTGACTTCTCATTTAATTTACTTTGCATAACGAAATAAAACTTTCGGTAAATCCAAAATGTGCATGCCTTCAGCGCTCATGTTATACGTAAATTTTTTAAAGAATTTAAAATGCACATAAGTTTTCACTAATAACCTTATTATTATGACGTCTAATTTTCCGATAATTTTTGGAATATTTATACAGCGATCGATATTATTTATCACGAGCCGCTGCGCTTGTAAGCAAACGATACAGTAGTTAATTCACTCACGACGGCGGCCGAGCTCAGCGCGAGTCAGTGTTTGTATTTAGTAAAATATGTTATTACAAGGCTGCTAAAACATCGACAATTTCGGAATTTCTCAAGAAAAAAATGGAAACTAAACAAAACAAAATTAAACTGCCATTTACATTCCATGGTTTCCCACATGATAGATGAAGAGATTAAAAAATAGATTGAGTTGAACAATTAATATTTTCAAAAGTTTTCGTGTTCCCTCTATATGCAGACTTGATAAATCTACACAATAAGCCAATAAAAACCCCTTTTTAATGTAAAAATAGCAATAAATTGATTTAAAAAAATAAGTTCAACAATCATTTACCTTTCTGAAAATGTGCTTTTTATATCACTTATATGTTCAATATGATTGTTAGATACGATTTCATGCGACAAAACTTGTTCTGAAATTCTTGATTTTTAGGCGCTGATAGAACATACGAGTCCCTACCTCGTACCTACGCACTTTGCGCTTAAGGTAATGCAATACTTCACCTCAGTGTCGACTAGCGATATCTGGTAAGCGGATGCTTATAACACTCATACAGTAAAACTTCAGCCAGTGTACATAAGATTGAAGCCATGATTGAAAATGTTCGATTTAAAGGAAAACATGAATTAGCTATTAAAAAGCCGGATCGGTCCTTACTACTATCCTAAGAGTCAAAGCAATTTAAACGAACATTCGTTGGATTACAGATTGCGGCAAGTCGTTAGTTACGACACGTACATTAGCACATATTCGTGAATAGATAGACGTCAACTTCATTAAATCCAAAGGATCTTAAAATAAAATTTTCAGTGAATAAAAATTTTTACTTGACAACTATTCTCTCATTTCACAATATCTGAGTTGTGTACGTAGTATGCGTACCTACTCATATTGTTGTTTATTTACCATGTAACTTGAATTATGTCATCGATTTGCATTAGACACAAGTAACTACTTATGTACAATGTATATACTATAGTAAATAGTCATTATTGGCATACGACGAAATAGTTAATGTGATAACATTGCTGTAAGTAATAATATTCATTTCAATTTTTGTTGCTTAATTTGTTTTTAAATTAAGTAATGATTTTTCGGCTTCTGTATTCGAGTATATGATTGAAGCCTATAATTACGTATTTTATAATACTTTACGTCTGCATTGTCATTTGTACCAGTACAGTTTGTAAGGTACAAAAAAACGAATATCGGCTATTTCTAAATGAGTTTTGAAAAAAAGATTAGGATGAGTCGCGCTGGTGCATTGTCTATTGACATATCCGCCTCTCTTTAAACATAAATATGTCTATTTTCTAGGAGTCCTTCTGGGTTAGAACCACCCTCTTAACTAGTTCTGCTGGAAAGTAACAATGCTTGAATAACTGTGTTTTGGGCTGAAAGGTATGGGGTGCAAGTTTAATTACAGGCGGCGAGGCATTCCATCTTAGTCTTCAGGGGTGACAAACCATCTGTAGCCTTCTGTTCGTCACTTCAATAATTGATACTGGTGGGCATCAAGCCCGGACGTCTATACCAGTATTTCTATAACGGTGAAAATATAAGATGCAGAGTCTGATTATTAACAACGGTAACATATTAAGTGGATAAATTATTTATTGATTTCAAATATAAATCAGACGTTAGGACATCATTCCGCGATAAATTAGAATTAACCGAATTTGGCTAGGGAATTCAAACCAGTCCACTGTTGGCAGTTTGATATGACTTTGTAATGACTGAATTGACAAATGTGCGGTATACAAAACTGGTCTCGTACGTCAACCTGTATTCTGTTCACAAGTGAGTGAGTGAACTTTACCGATTAGGCAATCGTATGATAATTTCCACTGTAAACTCACGGAAAATAAATGTATATTACTTATTATTTAGTTTTTTTTTAACGCCTTAGTGTGAACATACAGAGGAATAAATAATAAAGTTTTAATCTTTGGAAAAAAATGAAAGAATAATTTGCAATCATTTTTTTTTTATAAAATTGAAGTGACCTAGCAGACTATTAATACTTGCAACCAACTTCGTTGTTTGTAGTTATAATAATTTTAGCAGTGGCGACGGCTGCGTGGTCTTTCCTTTAATGGGCTGTCGATATGTGTCCACTGCTTTGTTCCGAGTTGAAAAATTAAAAAGGAAGAATGAAAGCC